TAGTTTTGTGCATGGTGATAGGAATGGATCTAGTTTCAGTCCTCAGCATGTGGAGAGCAAATTTTTCCAGCACCATATTATTAAAGAGGCTATCCTTCTTCCAGTGAACATATTTGGCCCCTTTATCAAAGATAAGATTGCTGAGTGTCTTTGTAGTTGTGTTTGCATCTTCTAATCTGTTCCATTGATCCTCAGGTCTATTTCTTTGCCAGTACTATGCTGATTTTATCACTGTGACTTTGTAGTACAGTTTTAAGTTAGGAACTGAGATGCCTCCTGCCTTGCCTTTGTTGCCCAGAATTGCCTTTGCTATTCTAGGTCTTTTTGTTTCCAAATGAATTTTAGGAGTGTTTTCTCTAGATCTTTTGAGGTATGTCAATGGTATTTTGATTGGTATTGCATTAAATCTGTGTAACAGTTTTGGGTGTATGACCATTTTCACAGTGTTGGGTCTTCCTAGCCAAGAGCAAGGAATATCCTTCCATTTTCTAATATCCTCTTCAATCTCCTTTTTTAGCGTAGCATAATTTTCAGCATATAAGTCTTTTACATTCTTGGTTAGGTGATTCCTAAGTATTTCATTTTCTTAGATGCTATTGTGAAAGGTGATATTTCCATAATTTCTCTCTTGGTGAGTTTTTTTGTGTGTGTGTACAGAAATGCTATTGGTTTTTGAGCACTGACTTTATATCCAGCTACCCTGTAGCTAGTAGTCTTTTAATGGAGTTTTTGGGTCTTCTATATAGATTATCATATCATCTGCAAATAGTGATAGTTTAACTTCTTCCTTTCCTATCTTTATTCCTTTTATTTCTGTCTCTTGTCTGATTGCCCTGGCTAGTATTTCCAGAACTATATTGAATAGGAGTGGCAATAGTGGACATCCTTGTCTTGTTCCTGATTTCAGAGTGAAAGCTTTCAGTTTTTGTCCATTTAATATAATGTTGGCTGTTGGTTTGTCATAGATGACCCTTATGAGATTGAGATAGGCACCATGTATTCTGAGTTTATGAAGGGTTTTTATCATGAACATGTGTTGGACTTTATCAAAAAGTTTTTCCTGCATCTATGATGATCATGTGGTTTTTGTTTTTGGCTCTGTTGATGTGGTGTATTACATTTATTAATTTGCATATGTTAAACCATTCCTTTATTCCTGGAATGAATCCCACTTGGTCATGACGTATAATCTTCTTGATGTTTTCTGCATTCTATTTGCCAATATTTTATTGAGAATCTTTGCATCAATGTTCATTAGTAAGATTGGCCCATAGTTCTCCTTTTTGGCTGGGTCTTTCTCTGGTTTTGGTATCAGAGTAATACTTGCCTCCAGGAATGATTTAGGGAGGATTGATTGCTTTTCAATTTCATTGAAGAGTCTAAGGAGTATTGGCATCAAATCTTCTCTAAATGTCTTGTAGAATACAGTCGTGAATCCATCAGGACCTGGGCTTTTCTTTGTTGGGAATTATGTTTTTAATTATGTTTTCAATTTCAGTAGCTGATCTTGGTTGAGCTTTGGTAGCTCATATGTTTCTAGAAATCTGTCCATTTCCTCTGTGTTTTCCACTCTATGTAAGTAGAGATTTTCAAAGTAGGTATTCATGATCTTTTGAGTTTCCATGAGATCTGTAGTAATTTCCCCCTTTTCAGTCCTTATTGCATGAATTTCGTTTTTTTCTTTCTTTTTATTGATAAGGTTAGCTAGAGGTTTGTCAATTTTGTTTAGTCTCTCAAAAAAACCAGCTTTTTTGTACATTAATTCTTTGAATTTTTTTTAGCTTCAATTGCATTGATTTCTACTCTAATCTTTACAGTTTCCTCTCTTCTATGAGCTTGGGGTTTAACTTGTTCTTCTTTTTTTAGAAGTTTGAAATGAAGCATTAGGTTGTCTGTGCTCATTCTGTTTTCTTGATATGACAATTTATTGCTATATATTTCCCTCTTAAGACCACTTTCATTGCATCCCACAGAATGCAATATGTTGTTTCTGAATTTTCACTGAATTGTAGGTATTGCTTTATTTCTTCTTTAATTTCATCTGTAGCCCAGTGGTAGTTCAGAAAGTTGTTACTTAATTTCCATGTATTTATGAAGGTTTTGCCATTTCTTTTGCCATTAGTTTCTAATTTCAGTGCACTATGGTCAGATATTATGCATTTACTTAAGAATGTAGATACCTAATTGAAAAAACAACTATTGTGAAGATAACGAGATATACTGTGGTACCTATTACTGTTATGCTGATAACTCACTGTGCAGTTCTGTACCAATTTCACTACACCTTCTAAATTAGCTTTATTCCATCTTGTGCTGTTATATTTTACTACCTTCAAAATAATAAAAAAATTTTAAAAAAGAATGTTTTATGGGATAATATATGGTCTATTTTGGAGAATGTCCTATGTGCAGCTGAGAAGAATGTGTATTCTGATGTGGTTGGGTGGAACACTTTGTAGATATCGACTAAGTCCAATTGCTCACAGGTATGATTCACTTCTATCATTTCTTTGCTGACTTTTTGTCTAGTTGATCTGTCTCTTTGTGACAGTGGGTTATTAAGGTCCCTTTTTATAATTGTGTTCTCGTGTTTTTGGTTTTTCATGTCCATTAGTATTTGTCTTATATAGCTGGGTGCTCCTGTATTTAGTGCATATATATTTATAATTGTTAGTTCTTCCTCTTGAGTTTTTCCACTAATGAGTATATAGTGATCTTCTTTATCTCTTTTAATCATTTTAAGTTTGAAGTTCAATATTGTCTACAAATAGACAATGTGCTTTTTTCTGGGTTCCTGTTGCATGGAATGATACTGTTTTCCATCCTTTGATTATTAATCTATGAGTTTCATTTTGGGTCAGATGTGTCTCTTGTATACAGCATATTGTAGGATCATGTTTCTTGATCCATTCTGTCAACTTATTTCTTTTGATAGGTAAATTGAGGCCATTTAGATTTATGGATATCACTGATATGTACTGGCTCAAATTTGCCATGTTATATTCCAGTTGTTTGCTCTCTGCTTTTCCCCCTTTGTTTAATTGCTTGTCCTACCTGGTAGTTTCTTTCTGTTGTTGTTCTGGAGATTGTGGTCATTTTTATCTCTATCTAGTATGTCTTTCAACATTCTTTCTAGGGTTGGTTTGGTGGACATGAATTTCTTCAGTTGTTCTTTGTCATGGAAGTATCTTATTTCTCCATTAAATTTGAATGAAAGTTTTTCTGGGTATATCAGTCTGGGTTGAAAGTTGTTTTCTTTTGGGACTTGAAATACCTCATTCCAAGCTTGTCTTGACTTGAGGGTCTGTGCTGAAAAGTCGCTGTGATTCTAATGGGCTTTCCTTCATAGGTGAGTTGTGTCTTTTCTCTAACAGCTTTTAATATTCTGTTTTTATGCTGCATGTCTCAGATCTTAATTACTTTTGCTTTTAAATCAGGTATTGTGCATACCTGTAATCCCAGCCTGAAGGAGGCTGGATGCTGAAGGAGGATAATGATGAGGCTGAGCCTAGCCTACGAAACTCGGGGATTAGCAGGACTCTTTCAAGATACAAAATTTTAAAAAGAGCTGGAGATGTACCTCAGCCCAAAGGACTTCAGTTCAATCCTCAGTACAAACAAATAAAAAACATTTTTATATGTTGGGAACTTCATATTATCCTGATTATCTTGAAGTATTTCATAGAATAATGTAACCAAAAATTACCTTATTGTCTTGTAGAAAATCAGAACTAATTCCTCCTTTCTGTGTTTGGTTCCTCTTACCAAACTTCTTTCCATTTCTTACCCCACCTGAATTCCCCTTCTTAGTCTCTAGTGATCATTATTTTACTCTGTTCTTCGATAAGATTAACTTTGTTAGTTTCTACAAATGAGTGAGAACATTTGGCATTTGTCTTTTTGTGCTGGTTTATTTCACTTCACATAATGACCTCCAGTCTATCTGTGCTGTTAAAATTGACATGATTTCATTCTATTTAGAGTATTGCTGTTCTTGTGTGGTGAAACGCTAGTTAACACGGAGAAGTATATAACTTTTTGGTTGTTAGTGACTTTTTTTTAATGTAGCTTCCTAAGAATGGAATTATGGGATCAAAAATATGAACATCTTTATGGCTGTTTTATGAAGTAATGATTACTTTTAGAAATTACTATAATCAAATTTCTTTGCTTTACCAAAGTGTGTAATAGATATTATGTAATAGGAAGAAAATGTTCAAATGGGAAGGGGAAGTACTGAGAGGGGAGAGGGAAAGTAAGGGAGGGAAAAGAAAAAACAAGAAAAGAAGGGAAAAATAGAAACTGTGCTTTTGTAAATAGGGAGGGGAAGAGGGGTTGAAGGGAAGGTAGGGGAATGGGGAAAAAAAGACGAGTCATGTACTGGTACAGATTCCCTGTAATGAATGTGATCATTATGTGTATCTATAAACTTAATTTAACAAATTCCTTTGCTTTTAATTTTTATTTAGTAAATTATAAGTTAATATAAATTGTAAGTTAAAGAATCTTACTTTGAAGACTGTCAGTGATAATCTTCCATCAGTAGAATTTAGGGTAAAATGATACATTATTTCCTAGTCTGAAAAAAAAAGATACTTTTTTTTTTTAAAGGTTCGGGGGTCAAACTCATAACTGCCTGCTTTCAAGGCAGGCGCTTATGCCGCTGAGCTAAATCCCCAGCCCCAAAAAGATACATTTTATGGGGCATTTTTGTACTAATGTGAACTAGAATAGTCAGTTGCTTTAATGACGGAGGATATGTACAACCTTAAAAGTAGTGTTTTGGCCAGACATGGTGGCACGTGCCTATAATCTGAGCACTCAGGAGGCTAAACCAGGAGATTGCTACAACTTGGAGGTCAGCCTGGACTACACAGTGAATTCAAGACCAGCCTGAACTGCATAGTGAAACTTTGTCTATAAAAATAAAAAAAAAAAAGGGAGGGGAGGAACCAGTGTTGTATGGTATTCTCTACTTTAATCTGTTAAATTTTCTTTAGGCTTCGAGAACAGGAAAGAAGAGAAGCAGAAGAAGCTTGTCAAAAAGAACTAGAAGAATGGGAAAGAAAACTTCTGGCTCAAGCAGCTCCAACTTACATGGAGAACATGTGGGAAATTCCAGCCATTGGACATTTCCTTTGTTTAGCCCAGCAAATTCTAAATTTGCCAGAAATAGTCTTCTATGAACTAGAACGTTGTCTTCTGATGCCTCAGTGTAATGCTTTTCTGTCTAAAATAATGACTTCTCTATTAAGTCCTCCTCATCGTAGACCTACCTTACATCGAAGACCCACTTTGCCTTATAGGACCTGGGAAGCAGCATTGAGGCAGAAAGTGCAGCAGTGGTATACTGCTGTAGGGCAGACTGAAAATCCCAATAACTGTGCTGAAAAACTTGGATTATGTCCTCAGTTTTTTAAAGTTCTTGGAGAGGTTAACCCCTTGGATGAAAAACCCTTTCATGAACTACCTTTCTACCAAAAAGTATGGTTACTTAAAGGTCTCTGTGATTTCGTGTATGAAACACAAAAAGAAGTTCAAGATGCTGTACTTGGACAGCCAATTCATGAATGCAGGGAAGTTATCCTTGGTTATGATTATTTGGAGAACGCATATGTACATTTTCCACAGTTCTGTGGTGCAGATGTTCGGATTTATAAACAAAGACCCTTTCGAGCCCCAGAATTTCCAGTTCCACCCATTAAAATACAAAGAGTACCTCGAATTAAACTGGAGAAATTAAAGAGCGACTGTGTTAATGCAAGTAATATAGAACATAGATGTAGAGAGGGTCTACCTTCTGCCTTCAAGAAAGAGCAGGAAATTACTTTTGATCTAGTTTGCTCCCCTGCTAACATCAACTTTGATAATCATGATATTGCTGTTGAAATGGAAGTAAAATCCAGCTGTGAAATTAGAATTCTCAGGCCTTGTGAAATCAAAAAAACTGATTGTTGTAAAGAAAATTTGGAGAAACCAAGGAGTCCAGGAGAAGTTACTGGCTTTGGAGAGCCACTCAGTCCAGGTGAAATACGGTTTATAGGAAATCAAGAAAAATATGGTGAAGCTTCTAGAATAAAAACTGAACCCAGTCCATTAAAAGAAAATGCTCTAAAGTCTTGCCAGATTCACGTAAATGGAAGTCACATTGATCATCCAGAGATTAACTGTCACAGAGTTGTAAGGGATATTCTACTAGAGCAGACACTGCAGAACCCCAAGAAAATAAAACTAACTAAAATGAGAGCAAAAAAGAAGAAAAAAAAGAAAAAGAAGTTGAAAGATGTTTTGAATGAAAATTTACAGAGAAAACGTGAAAGTCTTCATTCTCTTGCATTCAAGTCTTACAAACCTGAGATCCAGAATAAGCTGTTGATCATCAAAAAGAAAGCAAAACACAAGAAGCACAAATCTGGTAAGCTAACATAAATGGATAAGACCTGCATTTAGGTGTAATTCAAATTTTTTTCAATTATGGATCATGGAAGCTCTGACAATAAATTTGTGTGTGGATGTGTGGATATGGGTATGTTTGCACATATGTGTTTACTCTTACTTATTTTTCATGATTAAAAAGCCTGGAAGAGATTTTGTAAACTAACAAATTTAACTCTGTTAAATATTTTTGAACATTTTAATTTTATATTTACCTTCACTTCTGTAAGTGATACTTCCCATCACTTATGGTAAGTGTTTTCTCCCCAGACAAAGCATAGTGAAAGTGTAGAATAAGCACTGATAGCAGAAAACAGCACTGCCAAGATTCAGCTTCTTAACTACTAACATCTTAATCCATGATAGCTAGATTTTTTTTTTTCTCGGTATCATTTTTTTCCTGTATCACATATTTTTCAGCACTGTTTCTAGTATATATTTCCATATCCAGAAAAAATATGAACTGTAAGAAGGAAATTACAATAGCTAATAAGACATAAAACATATGTCTGAGCCGGGAATTTAGCTCAGTGCCTGGCAAGCGCAAGGTCATGAGTTCAATCCCTAGTACTAGACCCAGAAAAAAAAAAAACAGAAAGAAAGGAAAAAAAAAATATGTCTGTAAAAGAATTTTTAAGTTTTTCTTTCATCAAATTTAAATATCTTACTTCTCTTAAGATATTTAAATATCTTAAATATCAGACTATTTAAACTATAAAAATCCCATTAAGTCTTTAGGTGTTAGTAATTCTGTTTTTTAAATTACTCTAGTCCTTTTTTATGTGTGCATTATCTTTTAATTGGCTCGGTTATCTGTAGAACAGGTAAGAGGAAAGCATATGACCAGCTTCATTAATCCTTATAAGAAGTTGATTGATTAGGGGAACTACTAGAATCAAATACCAAAACAAGTTGTGGTTCATCATCATTTGTGAATTTCAGATTTATATTTCTTTCCATTGTAGCAAAGTAAAGATTTAGCAAAACTTTGATGCTGAGTTGGCAAATGACTAAGATTTTATTTGGCTAATATAGTTGGTGTTATACCTTAATCATTCAGATTATTAAATACAAATCCATATGTCTTAAAACATCTATGTGATTAATCATTGTTAAATATGAAAATAGGCTTAAGTTTTTGAATTGAAAGTATCAAAGTGCTCCATGTTAAACCAGGTGATAAATAGGAACAAGTTTTTAAAAAGAAACTTCCAGAAATAAACCTTTGAGATTTTAGTCTCTTAACACATAAAATAATATTTTAAAATTTCAAATATTTTAAAATTCTGAAATATATAGTATTGGTTTATTAATACCATTGCCAACTAAAACTGTATTTTCTACTAATACTATTTTATGTTTTCAAAGTCAGTTATAACATGATAATTAATAAAATAGACACTTGATAATACTTTCTATATAGATTATAGCAAGAATAAAATAAAAACAATATTAAATGATTTAAAAGGAATTTATTATAAATTAATACAGAGTGTTACTTTTTTTTTTGAGGTGAGCTTTATTATAGAAACACTCACTCAATATATAAAACATACTCATACCTTGACAGTCATCCATATAGGCATATATGTATATACATTCTTATTCCCTCAGGATATTCATACATAACATGTACATGTATCCTTTTTTGCTAACTCAGGCTTGAATGTGAGGCTTTGCTATAATTCTTACAGATATCACCTTGACAAAAATAAAGAAACCAAAAAAGCTTATCCAAAATGTGCACATAAGCAATGGAAAAGGACAGTAGTTAAATCAGCTAATCAAAGCCTAAATTAGCTAACCAAGTTATAGCAACTGGAGGTGGGGAGTGCCTTTCTTGCCAATAATAAAAGAGGCTAAAAACAAAATCCTTGACCACTGGTGCTGGGCTCTCTACTTTATGCCAAGGTAGCTCTCTCTCTCCTTATTTGGTCTTCTCTTTCTAATAAAGTGTTTTTTTTCCTTCTAGACACATATCACTGATTATTTGTACAAGTTTGTGAACCCTAGATAAAATCTACCTTCATGAGGTTTGACAATTGCAGTTATCGTGCCATAGAAATTTAAGTCTATCCTAAGTCCATTGCAAACATATGCATCTTACAATATCGATGGATTTTTTGTTGTTTTTCTATCAAAAAACCAATACTAAAATTTATTGCTTTATTTTTCAGTATCTATAAGTTTGTTCCATTGTTTTTTTTTTATTTAAAGAGAGAAGAAAGAAAAAAAAAGGACCAAAAAAAACAATGCAGTGAAAAGGTACAAATAATACAGTATTTCTAGAAAAAAATATATACAGTACGAAATCTCCAGTTAACAGGCTACACAGTATCTTCCCAGAAACAGTTGTCCATATCACTAAATTAAAGCATATAAAATGAACATTCATACAGTGGAATTGGAGACAGTTCCATTCAGTGATCCAACAAAAGCTCAGTTGTATGGTTTTCCGTCCTACACTCTCGAACATACCTGCGGTTATATTCCTTAGTCCACCTTACTTTCCTCTCTTTTTTACAGTAACAATTCGACTTTTAGGGTTTTATTACTCTCACGGTTCTTATTACTTTTTTGAAGAGAATAAAAACAAATGTGACTAAGCAAAACAGAGTCAGAACAGAAGGGTGGGTATAGCACGTGATGCAAAAATAGAATAGCAGGTGATCAAAAGTGGTTACCATTGTGCCTCTTGCTATTTTCAAATTGTGTTGTCTATATCATCAGGTATAATAGAATTGATCAAAACAATATGGAACAAAACCAATAAAATCTACACTGAGCACCTTACAGGACTTAAAAAAAAAAAAGAATGATAGTCAATCCATATTGGGCATCATAGTATATCTTATTGCCTTCAAAGTGATTGCCTATATCCTCAAACTTTATACTATCAAACAAAATAGAATATATAATAATCAGACAGAACAAGATGCGGAGAGCAATACTGGGGTTCAAGTCAGGTTAATAGGACAATAAAAAAGTTACTATAATATGTCCCGTTATTCTTTAATTTTGTTTTCCCTTAATTAAAAAAATGAGAGAAAATAGATTAATTTAAAAATAGGGGGAAGATTGAGATAAGAGAGGATAAGAGTGTTACTTTTTTTAAAATTCAAAGTTCAGGATATTTGGAAATCAGAGAGAAAATTTATGACTTGAAGCCAGTTCTAGATAAGTGAATGAAAATACTCAGATGACAAATTTAGGAAGTACTAGTGTACTTTTCTGGGTCTGTTTAATTAGAAAAGGCTTAATGTAGATAAAAATCAAAGAAAATAATGTACTTGTCTATATATTTTATCCTCAGAGCAAATTCTAAAGAGTCAGGTCTTCTTGTGAGTTCAATCCCTGGTACCACAAAAAGCCGGGCGTGGTGGCTCATGCCTGTAATCCCAGCACTCGGGAGGCTGAGGTGGGAGGATCGTTGCCAAGTTCGAGAGTAACCTGGGCTACAAAGTTAGCTCAAGGCCAGCCTGAACTGCATAGCAAGACCCCGTCTCAAAAAAAAAAAAAGAGTCAGGTCTTCAATGAGTAAAATGTGTAGATGTGGCAAATATAGTTTCTGTCTCTCCCTAATACTTGGTGAATGTAGACCAATTGTCTTTTTTCATCAGATATTAAACTCCTCACTGATGATATAATAACATTACATAAAATTTTACATAATAACAAAATATTTGGGTTTGTTTGGTTGGTTTTGTTTTGTTTGTTTGTTTCTTTGCTGTGCCGGGAATGGAATTCACACATGCTGTGCAAAAGTTCAACAGGTGAGCCAGATCCCCAACCCTGAACGTTTGTTTCACATCATTTCAGGCTGCTTGTTTTTCTGAGGGCTTCCCTGTAATCTTTGATTAAGTGTAGGCACATTATGACTTTTTATAGTCAGTGTGGGTCATATTCTGATCCACTGTTTCCTTTCTTATACATTTGATAAATGAGCTCGCAGGCCATAGTTTGAAAAGTGTCCCTCTTATGGATTTATATTTGGTAGTAGTAGATGTTCCCAGTGCATTTTGGAAATTCATCATTTATTTTGAAATTCAGAAATCTTCAGATTTTAGAATAGTATCATAATACATATAAAACTTATGAAATACCCCTAGCAGGGCTTGGGATATCCCTGTAATCAGTACAAAAAAATGGATGAGTAGTCAGACTACATGAAATGAAGATTGCCAGGTATGATGGTGCCTGCTTGTAACCCTAGCTCTGAGGCTGAGGCTGAGGGAGGAGGATCACTGTGAATTCGAAGTCAGTCTGGACTACAGAGCGAGTTCAAGGTCAGCCTGAACTAAAACAGTGAGACTGTCTCAGAAACATAAGTAAATAAATCCATAAAGTGAAGATTATTTTTTAAAATCTCGTAAGAGTTTAGGATGGGCATTGTTAACTGTAAAAATCATTTTTAAAGTTTTCAGAACCTTTTGGACTTTGCTGTGGATAAATGACTTGAGACCTATAAAGGATTCTAGAAATCTTGAGGAAATGAAAACTTTAATTTTGTCTAACCTAGTTTCTCAAGTTTGTTTGTTTGTTTGTTTGGGTACTGAGACTCAAACTCAGGACCATAAGGCAGGTACTGTGCCACTGAACTATATCCCTGGCCCCTCAAGTTTATTTTGATACATTTTTGTGGTTTTTTTAAGAAATAGTTACCAAATAGCCATTGTACTTTGTAGAATACACTTTGGGATACACTGTGCCATCTATTACTGATTTATGAACTTGCATTCAGAGTAGACTAAATTCTGTATGTGGTAAGGGTTCATATTATGTTGATTACTACAGGCTTTCATTTTTGGTGGTATCTCTGAATTTAGTAATCCTTATGATAAGAGGTGATTTTTTAGTGGAAGATACAAAGGCAAATTAGTTGAAAATGACTTGATCATTTTAGTGTACTAAGACAGTTTTGTAACATTTTTATGAAACATTTTTCATAAAATTTTTTTTACACATTTTTAAACATTTTTA